AAACGCTTCGATGCAAATCTTTAGATAGTGTTTAATTTTAAAAAAATTGGTGTTTTATTCCAAAAGCTACTTGATCTGCTGGTTCCTTATTAATATCTCGATTAAGATAAAGTATGTCGAATGAAAAAGGGTTTATTAAAAAAATATTATTTCTCATTAAAAAATTTTTGTAAAAAAGTTGTCATTTTAAATCCTTCCTGTGGGCAGGTTAAGTGTCAGATTTACAAAAAAAATATACCAAATGATAAGTAAAAACATCAAGCATCTATATAAAAAAAAATTATATTGATATGTTCATTTTTGAAAAAGTTAGAGCATTATTAAGTTAAAAATATAAAAAAAAATTATTTTACAAAAATCGTAATTTTTTATTAACTTTGATGTCAACTTTCACCACGTAGACAAGTCCAGAGGTCAAATTTTTTTTTTTCAAATTAAAGTACATTACATTAGCTTTAATTTAAGATATATATAAAAGTGTCAGACCTTCCGGAACATTTTCAAAAGTTAAGTTGAAAAAGTTAATTTTTTGTGAAAAAGTTGTCATTTTAAATCCCCCCCTGTGGGCAGGTTAAGTGTCAGATTTACAAAAAAAATATACCAAATGATAGGTAAAGACATCAAGCATCTATAAAAAAAAAAATTATATTGATATGTTCATTTTTGAAAAAGTTACGGCAGTTTTTAGTAAAAAAAATTGAAAAAATTTCGAAAATTAGCGATTTTTAAATTTGTAATTTTTTTGGAGGTTTCCCCCACTTATGGGGAACGAGGGATTTTTTTTCAATTTTGAAGGGTAATGTCTTCGACAAGATACGATTTGTGATCTTTTGACGTATCGTTGAAAGAAATCCGTTCGGTGAGAGCTGAGAAAAAGTGGTAACAGACACAAAAAAAAAAACACATCATAGTAAAACCAATACCTTCTCAGCTTCGCATCGAAGCTAAAAGTCGAAAATTAGCGATTTTTAAATTTGTAATTTTTTTGGAGAAATTCCTCCATTTACGGAGAATGAGGGAAATTTTTTCAACTTTTGAGGGTAATATCTTCGATTAGATATGATTTATGATCTTTTGACGTAACGGTTGACAGAAATCGGTTCGGTGAGAGCTAAATGCTAATAGCAATTATACTATTATAACAAACGATAACGACGAGCATACACGTAGTTAATTCTAAAAATACGAATATTTTACTGTATGGACGACACTACGGGTCGTCCAAAACCTATACATAAGATTGCAGCTTAACGGTACCCACACGCACACGATTTGGAACGACGCTTATAATATACGTTTATGCATATTGCTCGTGTGTGCATGCGTATAACTATTTTACTATTTAAACATTTGCATTTTTAATAAAAATATAGAATGAAGAATCTACAATAAATTTTCTTCTTTTAATTAATTTTAGAAGGTGGTGGTCCCGTCGTCCGAGCCACCACTGATAGTTAGATATCTATATTCAATGACATTATGTTACTAATGAAACCCAAATCAATGTTACTAGACGGTATGCGACGTACGACAGTCAAACTATGAATGATGCACCGATTCCGAACGACGAATGCGCGAGGCGGTTGTTTTGAAATGACGAAAGGCGTGGTTGTTACAGATACGGAAAACAACGCTATCTCTGGAGCGTTGAATACGTTTTACGTTCTGTGCGGCGTCCTCTTATGCGTAAACATCATTTTTGAAAAGATTAAATTTGCATTATGAAAAACTCAAATGTTAAACAGGTAAATTGTAAAATCTACTCTTAATTTTGTTTAATCCCTTATCAGCTATACATCCTAGTAAAAGTCACCCTTCTAAAAAAATTGATTATAATATTTCAATTTAAAATATTTTTAGCCACTAGTGAACATTTTTACTGTATAAAAATTAAATTATTGGTTTGTATAGTTAACATAACATATATTTCTTGAATTATTAGTTCTTAATTAGGTCTTTCATCCAACATCCAATCTATGCCATAAAACAATTATTGTTTTTATTGTAAAAATTATTTGTCTACCTTTAGTTTTCATCAAAATCATATGCTCAAAAGTTCATACTAGGCTATGGTTTTTACAAATCCACACAGAACTTTTATAATTTAACAAATCTAATACTATAACATAAGAAATAAAATATAATTTATAATGTACTTTTGGTGAATCACTGACACAAAAATATTCACTAATGCCTCCAAAAACATAGTTGGAGTAGAATCATGGAAAACTCAAATGTGAAACAGGTAAATAGTAAATCTACTCTTAATTCTTTTTTATCTCTTTTCAGCTATACATTCTAGTAAAGGTTACTCTTTCTAAAAAAATAAAATAAAATTTTAATTTTAAATTTCATAACATATTTTTCGGCTGAAAGAAATATGGTACTGTGTCATTTATTAGACAATAAACGAACTAAAAAACAACGATTTCGTTTTCCAACCTTAGACATGAGAATATTAGGCTGTTTAAAATAAATATATATAGCAATTTTATAGATACAAATTGCGATATTTGTCATTGTGTTCGAAAAAAAATTGAAATTTTTTTGTTTCCCGTAAATGGGGGAAATCTTCCAAAAAATTACAATTATCAAAATTGGTAATTTTCTACATTTTTAAAAAAAAACTACATTTATCTTTTATTAAAATGAATATATTAATATAATTTTTTTTTAAAGATAATTCAGATATTAATGATGTGTTTTATTTTTTATATAAATGTGACCCTTTACTTGCCTACACATAAGGTTTTAAAAGGGCAACTTTTTCGACTTAAATTTTGAAACTGTTTCGCAAATAATGAGACATTTATATATAAATATATATATATATATATATACATAATTAAAGCTTATGTAGTATATGTACTTCATTTTGAAAAAAGGAGAATTCGACTTCTTATAGTCTTCATCTAAATTTTATATTTCTATATTTTCTTTATATTAAAATACCTAACATATATATACAGGGCCGCATTTAGGAATTTTGCCGCCCGGTGCACTTAATTTTGCCACCCCCAAAAAGTGTTGGGTGGGGTTTTTTAGTTGAGCAAAAAAAAAAAAGTCTTCAAAACAATTTCCCTTGTTTACATTAGACATCAATGGTTAAGTCTTAAGTAAAAAGTCTTAATAAGTCTTGTTATTAACTCCTCATGTAAATCTTTATTTGTATCAGATGCTGTAAAAGATTCATGTTGACCATTATAAACTTGCTGATCTTCATAATAAGGACTATTGTAAGGACTTGAACTAGGAGTCTAGTATATTTGAATATTCTCCTGCGACTTTGCTGTATTCATATATAATGCATTATGAATCTCTTTTTCATCATTTAGAATAAGATCAATGAATTTTGCATAACTTAGTATAAACAAATTGGGAGAATAGTAATACACCACTTGTTTTCCTTTGGGTGTATCAATAAAGTATCCCATAGCTGATGTATTCTCATGTCTAAGGTTGGAAAACGTAATCGTTGTTCTTTAGTTTTNATGAACGCTATGTAAAAATATATATTGAAAAAGACTTAAAATATGACCAAACGATTACTTTAAAAATTATAAAATTAAATATTAACCTTAATAAATTATTTGTTTCTATACACTATGTATTTTTATTGTAATAATGTGAACAATATTCAAAAGAAAAATAAGTTTTTATTCAGTAAATGAATTTTAATAAAATTAAAAAGAAATGTTTGCAATAATACGAAAAGTTGCCAAAAAAAAAGTTGATAACGTAAACAAAATGTATATGAAATTGTTAACAAATAAAAAATAAAATAATATACACGTAATATTCAAATAATTAACATGAAACTGATATTTGTTCTCATGGAATTTGTATTATAACAGTGCCACTAGCCATACATATCTCTCTTTTAATTCGTTGCAGGAATGGATTCGTTTTGGCATCATAAACCTGTTGTACATTATAATGATGGCCGTTATGAATAACCGTGTCAATATTGTCAACCATTTGATCATGACGAACTAGAAAAGATATTTATTAAATATAAAATTAAACAACTTTTATTTCTATTTTCTTACTCACGAAACTAAATTATGTTGTATTAAAACGATTTTACTTACTAGGACTGTGACACATTTTTCTTCTTTTAATAATTTTGATCTCCGATGTCTCATAATTTTTCCTTTTCAAGTCTGACGGCTCATTTTGACCTGTCATATTTTCTAACAATGATGCATTGAGACCAACTATATAATTGCTTTAATGTAAACAAAAAAAAATATTGATAAAATAATTTTTATATATTGTAATACGTTCATATCTTTAATATAATCATAGTTTGTTTAAGTTTCAGTGAGAATTCAATAGTTTTATTACTTGTAATGTAACTATTCTGTGTTGTTTAATTTTATATGAAATTTTGATTACTTTTTTTAAAAAAGATAATAATAATATTACTTTTGACGTATTAAATCCTCGGCCATTCTATTAATTAAAAAAAAAAAAAAACTTGTATCTTTACAAAAATGTTACGGCTAGAATATAAATCTTAAGAAAAAAGGCCCATTACAAACATTTCAAAATATTGTTTTTTAAATATCCTCAAAATTTCAAATTACTACGATCAGTTTAGACCGTGTAATAAAGATTATACTTTTAATAGTTTTTAAGCCCAAAATTACCGCGGTGTGGCATCCTTATAAGCGCTCAAAAAACAGTAATGATTTATAGGGCACTTGCAAAAAGACCCGCGTTAAAAAATATAGCAAAAAGTAAATGGGCGTCTGTCATCAGTCAAATTTACACTAGTCAACGTTCAGCTTTAATAAATACAATATTTATATATCAATTATGAACGCTATGTAAAAATATATATTGAAAAAGACTTAAAATATGACCAAACGATTACTTTAAAAATTATAAAATTAAATATTAACCTTAATAAATTATTTGTTTCTATACACTATGTATTTTTATTGTAATAATGTGAACAATATTCAAAAGAAAAATAAGTTTTTATTGAGTAAATGAATTTTAATACAATTAAAAAGAATATTTGCAATAATACGAAAAGTTGCCAAAAAAAAAGTTGATAACGTAAACAAAATGTATATGAAATTATTAACAAATGAAAAATAAGACAAAATAATATACACATAATATTGAAATCATTAACATGACTGAGATTTGTTCTCATGGAATTTGTATTATAATAGTCCCACTCGCCATACATATCTCTCTTTTAATTCGTTGCAGGAATGGATTCGTTTTGGCATCATAAACCTGTTGTACATTATAATGATGGCCGTTATGAATAACCGTGTCAATATTGTCAACCATTTGATCATGACGAACTAGAAAAGATATTTATTAAATATAAAATTAAACAACTTTTATTTCTATTTTCTTACTCACGAAACTAAATTATGTTGTATTAAAACGATTTTACTTACTAGGACTGTGACACATTTTTCTTCTTTTAATAATTTTGATCTCCGATGTCTCATAATTTTTCCTTTTCAAGTCTGACGGCTCATTTTGACCTGTCATATTTTCTAACAATGATGCATTGAGACTCACTGTATAGTTGCTATAATGTAAACAAATTTATGTTAAATTTTTAATTGCCATAAAAATATATTACGATTCCTGTGCTTAGTTTTCTCTAAATACTATACATAACAATGACAATTGTATATATCCAAAAAAAAATATTGATAAAATAATTTTTATATATTGAAATACGTTTATATCTTTAATATAATCATAGTTTGTTTAAGTTTCAGTGAGAATTCAATAGTTTTGAATTTCACATACGAAAGTTATATTACTTGTGATTTAACTATTCTGTGTTGTTTAATTTTATATGAAATTTTGTTTACTTATTTTAAAAAAGATAATAATAATATTACTTTTGACGTTTTGACATATTTATATTTGTTAAATTATTTCCACGATTCAAAATCTTATTAATAGCTTTCAGGCGATTTTGTTTCATGATTTCAGGAGGGATACGAGTATATTTTTTATTTCTAGTTTCTAAAATATTCAAACGTTTTATAACAGATTTCTTATAAATTTTTGACACTGTAAATAAATAAAACTTTAATTAATAATTGTAAAATTGTTTTAATCTTTAAAAAATGTTGTTTTGACTTCAAGTAATAAATCGCGACAAATAAATAAATATCTATACAATGTGACACTTACTAATGGAATGCTGTGCTTCACTTTGTAATAGTACCGTTTAGATTAATTAAGAATTATGATAATAATTTTTAAGATAAATAGAATTTAACTGTGTATATATTATCGCGTATTTGAGATGGATGAGAGAATATAAGAATCGTCGAATGCAAAACGCCAACTGAAAGATATGACAAAATTATGTTGTAAACTAACAAAATTTGTAAAAGTTTTCACTGTTTCAATGGATACGATAATTTATATTTTAAACCAGCATGGGTTTTTTGTGACAAATATAGAAATTAAGTACTTCTTATTAATAATAATTAGTGTGTTGTAATAATAGTATTAACGTGACAAAAATTATGCTATCATTTTATTACTCATATTATTGTGTATTTAAGGAAAATATTGTAAACTTTGATCACAATTAAATTATATGTCAATAAAAATATCTGGAAACACTAATGATGTTGATCCCTAATTGAATTAAAAGAAAAGTATAAAAGACGGGTTAACGTGGCATAAAAAACTTACTTTCACTTAGAATCTCTGAATGTCAGTTAGTTTATCAACATCATCAGTGTGAAAAGACACATTTTAAAAAAGAAAAAAAAAAGAATACTTATTCTAAGGTAAGCAAAAATGCTGAACATAAAATTTCTATATAAATAATAAAGTAAATAAGTACTTTTGGTAAAACTGAATCTATATAGAGCAGATTTCGTTTGAGCTGTTATTTTACGGTTGGCGATTGCTCTGGATTTTTAGTAAATTAAAATTTACATATACATATGAATAGTAATATTCCTTTTTCTTTGGAATTGTATTAGTAAAAAAAAAGAAAACCCTCGGAACACTGACCTCGAACACTGACTTAAATAATAAATTTAATATGTATTCTACGTTTTTCTAAAATGTCGACATATTTAAATATTATTAACACTTAATAATCATTATTTCTATGATCTAATTTATAACCTGTTATTAAAATAAGAAGAGTTTATAATTATTTTATTGAATAAGTACTTACATCAATAGATTTTTATAAAGCTTGTAACGTGACATCATGTGAGCCTTTAAATCTATTAATTTCTTATGTTTATGGTATTTTATATCCGGCCGTATAATCAGAAAGCTGTACTGTTGATATCAAGGTGAACGCTATACATATAGATAGACCACGCCGTACACAATTTTGGCAGTCCAATTTTTATTACGAATGGTCGCAGGGAAACGATGCACTGGACGCAGGCGATTGTGTTGATAGATAGCGTAAATTTATTACAAATGTTATTGGTATTATAAATGTTTAATAATTATTAAATGAATGTATGATGCAAATAATTAAATAGTTATTTTTATACTCGTTAATTGCATTTCATGTTATTAAGTAAGGTTTTTTGAGATTTTAACTCTTTGTAATTATTTTTTCATTGAAATTTAATTAAATTTTTTATTTTAATACTATACTAAGAATCCTTAATAGAACTTTGACATAAAATATGGTATTACAGTATAAGACTAAACTGTTGGGCTCTAAATATTTTTATAAATTATTTTGTAATTAGGTTGAGTTGAAAAATCTTTATGATAAAAATTATACTTTTTCTTGCGCTTTATATAGTAAAAATCCTAATCAATTAAACTTCCTAAAATAAGCCGACATTATTATTAGTGACCTTAGATTATCACAACCTATTAAAAGATATGGAGTAAAACCTCCATATTTTGATGATTTGCTATGGAATATCAACGCTGTTATAATGTTATATGAGCAACATCAAAATTTAAGATACGATTATTCGATAACTAGTAGGTTAAACCAGGATGTTTTAGAAAACACTTTTTCATTTTATCGTCAAAGGGAGGTTTTAATAAGAATTCTAAGACTAGGACTTTCAGGACATCATTTAGAATTCGAGCTAAACACAATTTAATGAGATCATCTGAAACCTCAAATTGTGAGCTAGATGATGACACTGATATTTTGGATTTACCTATATTTTCCACTAACGAAACTAACGACGAAACTACAACTGAAAATCCTATCCGATTATAGTTTAGACACGTCTGAAATATCTTCCTTCCCTAATTCCTGTCCTACTATACAAGAACAACTGATTTCTGTTCCTACATTAACTTTAGAGACCTGTTCAATGTATATTTTGTTGGGTATCTCGGTAAAAAATTGTTAGGTAAATTTCTATATAAACCATGTTAAATTTATGAAAGAGGATACAAATCTTTTTAATGACAAAGAATTTTTAATTTTTTATAAAACATTTCAAACACAAAATCAAATAATTACTTGTAAGTTGAAAAACCAAAACAAATTTTAATACATTTTGTTACTAATGCTCAACAGATAATACATCATTTTTTAAATGAAAAGTAGTACACAACACAATTGAGTTTTAAATTAAATAGTATAATCACAAATGAATTATATCCTATTGTAAATACTTCACAAGAGTTCTTGTTACACTTAGAATATTTAACTTTAACTTTAATACATAGTAAACATTTTAGAATATTTAACTTGAAGTCAAAATTTCATAAGATGGGCTTCGCGGATAAATTAAAGATTCTAAGAGGAAATTAATATTATTATAGGATGAACTTATCTTAACTTCTTATTTTATCTTTTTTAGTGATCTGAACATTGGTTAAAATTGCTTTATTTGTTTGAATATCTTTTTCTAAAATATTTATAATTTGTTTTTTTTTTTAATATTTTATTATATATTTGAAAAATTAAATTATTATTTTATACATGAAAAGTTTTCATTATTAAATTTTGTAAGGTTTTCATTGAAAACCTTATAAAATGTGTAATTATTAATAAATATTTCACTTAGACTTGATTATTGGTAAGTTAAGAAATTAAACACCAAATAATATAAAAATCTTTACAGTGAACAAATCGGTAACGAGAAAGTTGTGTGTAATAAGTTAAGATTCTCAACACTAAAAGAAAATTAAAAGAACAAATTATAGTCAAACTTAAATCAATATAAATAAATAAATAAAGAACCCAGCATAGGGGGGTAGCAACGGTAGCACAGTGGAGTTGAGGCACAGTGTGGACGAGGTATAGATGGGACAAGTATAGATGATATCTGACAGTGATTAAAATCACTATCAAATTAAACGCTTCATGGTGAAAATGACTACTGTATTCTATTTTTGTGTTAAAATTCTCGATCTTATATTTTACATTTTTAACTTTAAAATACTATAACTTTTTGAAAAATGTATGGATCAATACAATTTTTTTATGCGAAATAATATTTATATTCTTTTTTCATTCGATTTACTTTTTTTTTAAATCGGACCATTTCCTCTAATACAGGGTGGGTTCAAATCTTAAAAATGCATATAGAAAGTAGAATTTTTTCAGCTTAATTTTTGAAAGTGTTCCAGAAATACTGACATTTTTATATATATCTTAAATTAAAGCTAATGTAATATATTTTATTATGGAAAAAAAAATTTCCGACTTTATTTTGTTTTCATGGTAAAAACAGTCATAAAAGTTAATAAAAAAAACGGTAGCACAGTGGGGTTGAGGCACAGTGTGGACGAGGTATAGATGGGACAAGTATAGATGATATCTGACAGTGATTAAAATCACTATCATAAGAAACGCTTCGATACAAATCTGTAGATAGTGTTTTATTTAGAGAAATTGATGGATTATTTCAAAAGCAACATCAACTCTTATTTCTTTCATTTGATACGTCTTAAAAATTACAATATTTGTATCATAAAATTGATGTTTTATTTTTTAGCTTCAATACGAAGCTGAGAAGATATTAATTTTACTATGATGTGTTTTTTTTTGTGTCTCTTGCATATTTTCCTCAGCTCTTACTGGACTGATTTCTATCAACGATACGTCAAAAGATCACAAATCGTATTTAGTCAAAGACCTAACCCCAAAAATTGAAAAAATTGTCCTCGTTCCCCGTAAATGGGGGAAATCTCAACAAAAAAATAACATACATAAAAATTGGTATATTTGGTATATTTTTATGATAAATCTGAAACTTTACTGGTTCACATGAGGTATTAAAAATGACAACTGTTCACAAAAAATTAACTTTTGAAAGTGTTCCAAAAATACTGACACTTTTATATATATCTTCAACTAAAGCTTATATAATAAACTTTAATATGAAAAAAAAATTCTGTTTAATAAATGTAAATAAAAGCTATTAAAACTTGTATTAATAAAATTGAATTAAAAGTTCGAAAATTGAGAAGCAATAATAATATTATTGAATTGACATATTTTTCTATTCATTGTTAGCTGGTTTACTTGTAACAAAAAACCATGCTGGTTTAAAATATAAATTAACGTATCCATTGAAACAGTGAAAACTTTTACAAATTTTGTTAGTTTATAACATAATATTGTCAATTATTTCAGTTGGCGTTTTGCATTCGACGATTCTTATATTCTCTCATCCATCTCAAATACTCGATAATATATACACAGTTAAATTCTATTTATCTTAAAAATTATTATCATAATTCTTAATTAATCTAAACGGTACTATTACAAAGTGAAGCACAGCATTCCATTAGTAAGTGTCACATTGTATAGATATTTATTTATTTGTCGCGATTTATTACTTGAAGTCAAAACAACATTTTTTAAAGATTAAAACAATTTTACAATTATTAATTAAAGTTTTATTTATTTACAGTGTCAAAAATTTATAAGAAATCTGTTATAAAACGTTTGAATATTTTAGAAACTAGAAATAAAAAATACACCCGTATCCCTCCTGAAATCACGAAAAAGAATCGCCTGAGAGCTATTAATAAGATTTTGAATCGAGAAAATAATTTCACAAATATAAATATGTCAAAACGTCAAAAGTAATATTATTATTATCTTTTTTAAACTAAGTAAACAAAATTTCATATAAAATTAAAGAACACAGAATAGTTACATCACAAGTAATAATACTTTCGTATGTGAAATTCAAAACTATTGAATTCTCACTGAAACTTAAACAAACTATGATTATATTAAAGATATAAACGTATTTCAATATATAAAAATTATTTTATCATTATTATCTTTGGATAAATATAATTTTCATTGTTATGTATAGTATTTAGAGAAAACTAAGCACAGGAATCGTAATATATTTTTATGGCAATTAAAAATTTAACATAAATTTGTTTACATTATAGCAACTATACAGTAAGTCTCAATGCATCATTGTTAGAAAATATGACAGGTCAAAATGAGCCGTCAGACTTGAAAAGGAAAAATTATGAGACATCGGAGATCAAAATTATTAAAAGAAGAAAAATGTGTCACAGTCCTAGTAAGTAAAATCGTTTTAATACAACATAATTTAGTTTCGTGAGTAAGAAAATAGAAATAAAAGTTGTTTAATTTTATATTTAATAAATATCTTTTCTAGTTCGTCATGATCAAATGGTTGACAATATTGACACGGTTATTCATAACGGCCATCATTATAATGTACAACAGGTTTATGATGCCAAAACGAATCCATTCCTGCAACGAATTAAAAGAGAGATATGTATGGCGAGTGGGACTATTATAATACAAATTCCATGAGAACAAATCTCAGTTTCATGTTAATGACTTCATGTTAATGATTTCAATATTACGTGTATATTATTTTGTTTTATATTTTATTTGTTAATAATTTTATATACATTTTGTTTACGTTATCAACTTTTTTTTTTACAACTTTTCGTATTATTGCAAAAATTTCTTTTTAATTGTATTAAAATTCATTTACTTAATAAAAACTTAT